AGATGTACAGTGGCCCTACAGGAATCCATAAGAAGTGCCAATCTATTTGAAGAATAACTTTCCTAAATATTTGTCCTGATACTAATGGTACTAAAACATGATCAGTAACTGTTTTAGCCTGGTCAGGGTCACAGCTCCTGAGCTTTCCCATGGGAATGAGGTAGAAATGCACCCTGTATGGGACGCCAGTCCATTGCAGGGCACCATGCACACACACATTCACACACTCATTCATATTGTATCTGGGGCAATTTTTTTGCATAGCCAATCCAACTCCAGCAATGTTTTTTAGAGGTTAGAGGAAACCCACACAGGAATGTGGATAACTTGCGAATCTCCACACAGACAAAAACCCAAGCTCAGGAGTGAACTGGAGACCTGGTTGCTATGATGCAGCAACACCCACTGCACCACGGTGCTGATACAAAATGCAATTTTAAAATCTTAAAATTGCATCGTAATTTGGTTATGAGTTATTTCGTGAATTGGAAATGTTTGGACAGTTTTCAACCGAATGACTCAAACCTGAACGAAGACTTAACACACCTAGCACACTTGAATCCATCAAGCGTCACATTATCTCACTCATATGGTTTTCTCTGGCAAACCTTCAGTAACAGCCTGTTTTTGTGATGTCCAGCCTGCTGTAGCCTGTAAATCCTGGCCATAGAGGTATGAAAAACCTCCTTGTTCTGATGAGCTGGTGGTTTGTCAGGCCACTCTGACACTGACATGCCTGTGATGGAGAGCTCTGATTAAAGTGGAATCCCAAAAATGGAGTTCTAAAAATGGCAGGGGAGGGATAGGTCATTATGTGCAGAAGGACGTCTTCATCAGTCAGAGATAGGAGCAGGTGACAGAACACATATCTGGATACTTCACACTACACACCATCTTGTTGCACACATGAGATTAGAGAGATTGGACAGAAACGAGAAATAAATCTTTTGCACTTGGATAGGCATATCAACTAATTCTTATTTGCACTCAAACATGCACTTGTTTCAAATGTTGTCTTTCCAAACATGTAAGCAAAATTTAGTGATTTCAGAAAAATTGTGACTTTCTTAATTTAATGTACTGTCGCTCATATTTCATATTTGTCATTTTACATAATAGGCGCAATGCATCATGGTGACTTCTAGGAGACAGAAATGCACCACTAGCTAAAGGCTCGGTCTTCCCTTTTAAAACAAGAAATGAGTTTCAGATCTGTCACTGTCTCCCATCAAATAAAATCACCACATAGCCGCAGATAATCATTTGGCGATTCAACAGTGACACTGTATCAAAACCAGACAGCATGTTGGCACTCATGAGAGCTGGCACTTGTCAAAGCAGCCTAAAATAGAATGATGCAAAAACAAACAAGGCTCACTTTTTGTTGTCTTTGATTTATATTTTTGTTTATATATTTATTTATATGCCAACTTTTTGGCTATTTATTTATTTATTTATCATATATGCAATTATCCAAGGCAGCACAGTGCATAAAATCATGCATATACAGGTCAAGAGCATCAGTTAATGTTCATATCAAACATCAGAGTGGAGGAAAAGTGTGATCTCTGTGACTTTAACTGTGGCATGGTTGTTGATACCAGATGGCTGGTTTGAATATTTCAGAAACTGCTGATCTCCTGGGATTTTCACATATAACAGTCTCTAGAGTTTACACAGAATGGTACGAAAAACAAAACATCCTGTGATTGGAGGGTCTGCAGGCTGAAACACCTTGTTAATGAGAGAGATCAGAGGAGAAGAACCAGACTGGTCTGAGCTGACAGAACGTCTGTAGTAACTCAAATAATCACACTTTACAACTGTGGTGAGCAGAAAAACATCTTAGCATGCACAACACATTGAAACTCAACAGTAGTAGCTCAGTGAGGGCAGTGGCAGCTCAGTGAGGGCAGTAGTAGCTCAGTGAGGGCAGTGGCAGCTCATTGGTTAAGTTGTTGGCCTACTTATTGGGAGGTTGTGAGTTCAAACCCCAGCACTACCAAACTACCCCTGATGGGCCCTTGAGCAAGGCCCTTAACCCTCAACTGCTCAGATGTATAAATGAGAAAAATGTAAATTGCTCTGGATTAATGGTGTCGGCCCAACGTCATAAATGTCAAAATCTTGAGGTGTTTTTTTTTTTTTTTCGCACCATTCTGTGTAAACTCTAGAGACTGTTGTGTGTGAAAATCCCAGGAGATCAGCAGTTTCTGAAATACTCAAACCAGTAAGTCTGGCACCAACAACCATGCCACAGTTAAAGTCACAGAGATCAGGCTTTTCCCCCTTTTGATGGGAACATTATCTGAAGCTCTTGACCTGTATCTGCATGATTTTATGCTTTGTGCTGCTGCCACATGATTGGCTGACTGAATAACTGCACGAATGAGCAGGTGTACAAGTGTTCCTATTAAAGTGGACAGTGAGTACATGGCTCTGGAATAACTTGTTTTGCTTCACCTGTTTTACAGAAACAAAACATTCTTAATTCCAGCGTTAATTCTATAACATGAGAGTGATATTCACTGTCTTCAAATTTGTCCCTTTAAAGTATTATTGTGCATTTACCCACCTACATCTCTACGGATTCATGTCTGTGTTCTTAAGAAATCACAAATTGTCTTGCTTTTACTTCAGTGTTAGATTACAACATTTGAATTACAGTTACTTATTCCTCCAATAACACAGATCAATTTTTAAACAGGCTACCAATTACCAGCACATTATCATATATATCAGAGTGGCCTAGGTCGATCGGGTTTATTAGCATGCTAAGTGGAATGTCCTTTCCCTGCACAAATGTCAGCACATACAGATGGGCACCTCAGGTGGACTATTATTTCGCTGAGGTTTGACAAAGTACAGAGTGTGTTCTCACTTTACTACAAACTCTACCTCATTATAGCAGTGAGTAGGCACAGCGGAGGCTGAGCGTGGGCTGAGCATTAGCCTGCAGTGGGCCACCAATAAACAGAGCATTGGCTGGTGCCAGATAATCAGGGAGTTTATTTCCATGTGTTTGTTGGATGCCAAGATGCCAAGTGCCTAAGATGTCACCAGTATAACAGATTCTCTCGTCTGGCTTAAAAAGCAACTCAAACTTTGCCGTCAGCCAGTTGTTTTTATCTGAGGATCAAATCAAAGTATGTAATATTTGTAGCAGAAATGCATGGCCAAGTAAATGTTTATTTTTTTTCAATGGCTTCAGATTTGTCATCTAACGCTTTTTACATTGTATATATGGAGTACAAGCAAACATTCAGGTGAGTTTATCCATAATGTTTACATTCCTCTAGTATGAATATTCTGAGATAATGAGGCAGAAAAGTAATTCAGATGATCGCTATAGAATCCTCTTCTCGTTAATACAACAGTTTGCTAACATCCTGCCTACTAATTAAAACGAATTGAACTGGAAAGTGCTGTTACTGTCTGCTGCTCTCTCGCACATGATCAATAAAATGCTGCCAGATTAATGTGTCACAGCTTACTGACAAGCTTGAGCAGCCGATGTTAACTCCTCCAGTAATTTAATTATTTATTTCTGAAAGTTTAAGGGGGGCTGACCAAAGAAATAAGATTATTAATTATGTATATACCATACAAACAATTATTCAGGCCAGAAGGTCAGAAGGCCAAAATTTATGCTGCTATATTTACTGTGAAAAGGTCAAGTGAAACTTATGATGATTAATGCATATGTGCACAATAAACGTCCTCTAAAATTAAATGATTTTTCAGCAATTCCAAATTATGCTAATACAATCAGAATTGGAAAGTTGTAGACAGCCATGCTAATCGTTGTAAATACATTTTGACTGACTCGGGCTAAGGCAATTTCAAACAAATTAAAAAGAATAAACATTCATATGTAATTACCAATTCAAATTAGGAAATTGGATCCAGTTTCATTCTCACAGAAACGCCAGTTCTCTGTGGTACAATGATCACTATCATTCGGTTTAATTTATCTTAATTCAATTCATTGCGATTGTCGTTATAGTTAAATGCAAGTCCAACAGTGTATGAAAGAGCTCGCTTTAATATTTACAAGAAGTAGCAGAGGTATTAGAACAATGTGTAGGTGTAAGGATGAAACTTGCTTGTATCACAGACACACCTGGATGTAAATATCAGGAACTGAAAGCTGAACTTCTGCTCTATCATCTCATATTCATCTTTTAATCTCAAACCCAAATGTCTTCAGTGTACAGCAAAAACAAAAGAACTGTTCCTGCCATTCCAGTACTTTCCGAGGGGACTGTAGGTACACTTAGACAATTTCTGATTTTACAGATTATTCCGTGAAACAGACCTACCCCATTTCACTTGATAGAACAGAGAGGTTCCATATGATTCTACTCCTACCATATCTTAGCATATCTGTGAAAGATTCCAGTCAGCCAGGTCATTTTCAAAATAATAATAGGTCTACTAGTAATAGGTTCTTGAACACCCTATATTTTAACATTTTTTATTAAATAACTTATTTAAGTATATTTTAAATACCTTAATATTAGAAACATATAACCAAAGAATGGGTAAAAGTGGATCCTGAAATGTTTATTATTAAATGTATAGTAAAGTGAGAAATTACTATTTTATTCAGCCTAGGTCTGATTTAATGGGAAAATGCCAAAATCTTTATCATTCTAATTAGGGTTTGGTAGCACACCACATATTTATGCATTACAGTGCATTAATACTAGCATTAACTAGCAATAGACTAGCATTGTCTATTATATAAGATTTAGGTTTCCTTATTTAATTGCTATTCTGCATCATTTTGTTTGATCTATGGTAATAGTGTTGATTGTTGCTGTTCTTTTGGCTGCTCCCATTAAGGTTCACTACATGGATCATTGGTCTGCATATTTGATTTAGCACAGTTTTTTATGCCAGATGCCCTTCCTGAAGCAACCCGCCCCGATTTTATCCGGGCTTGGGACCGGCACTGGAAGTGCACTGTTGTGTGCAACCCCAGTGGCTGGGGTCGGTTCCCTGGCCAGGAATTGAACCCAGGTTGTGGCTGTGAGAGCACCAAGGCCTAACCACTATTCCTCCAGGGACCCTTGGTAATAGTGTTGATTAAATTGTAACACACACAAAAACCACAAACTCCAGGGGTTCAAAATCTTTTGAAGGCAGTGAATTATCATGATTTCTCCACTCATCTAAGGTTTCAGCAATCGCTTTGAAATATTATTACAAGACAGAATGGGGACATATTGTATTCTTTACCTTTTCTCTAGACTAAAAAATGGAGAATATGGCACAAAAAATAGATCCACAATAGACAAATTTCGCATAATGACCTGCGAAATTTTGAAACTTAATAAAAGAAAGTTGATTATTTTAGTCCACAAAAATTAAGATGTTTTCATTAGACGAGATTATTAGAATACCTACGGAAGACATTAATCTTCTTGCCTTCACCCACGCCCTCCTCCACACACACACACAAACACATACGCGCGCACACACACACACACACACACACACACACAATTTTATGTATGAGATAGAGTTCTTACTCTGGCAGAATCGTTATTCTTGTTTCATCTCTCCAAATTATTTTCACAGCATTGAGATTTTAACAAAGACTTGCCATTTCACAGGAAAGAAATAAAATATTCAGAATGACAGATCATTTCCATGCAAATCATCCAAATGAGTCACATCAAATCTGGGTCATGATTCAGAGAGAGGCAAAGTAGCAGAATGTAATCACACTGGTCAGAAACAGTAAGAGTCAGTGACATTCTCCTTGTGATTGGTTGAAAATTTTAAAAAAGAGTAGCACAGGCACCTGTGGAACATGAAAACACACACCAGTAAAACCAAAATTTGGTATGTAAGACAACAGCATGTTTTGCTTTCAGGGATATTTTAATGTCATCAGCACTTGCGAGGTTGCTTTCTTGGTGATGAACTAAGAATGTTTCTTCTTAAATGTATAAGCACAGCTCTCTCTGGGACATTTTGCTCTAGATTTTTCAATTTCACACGTACTGCTAGCTAAAATACCACTATGGGGATTAAAACAAGCACTCGCCAGATGTTTTTTTTTTTATAACAGCTACTTATAATGTACAACTTCACCAAATGAAATGAGATTTTTAACCTTAACTTGCTACAGCATATACTTAATTTTTTTTTTTTTTTTTTTTTTTTTAATTTGGGGTTCGGAATTTTACACAAGAAAATTTTTTGCCCCTGAATAGTCCTTTATGGTCATTTTAAATGCCACAGACCATGTAACTGATAGATTTAAATGGCTCAAGTTGACAAACACATGCTTTTTTCACATGCTTGATCAATTTTAGCTAACATGAGACCTGATCTCCTACCATATAAGAGGGGAATGTTCTTCACGCTGTTCTTCTGGAAGTGAGCAATAGTAATATAATGAACTGAGTATAAATCTGGAGGCATGGCAGGTGCTATGTAGTTACAGGGCCTCTCCTATAGAGACTAACATTTGGTTGGCTTGTTTACTCAGCCGGCATAATGGAAAGTGATAGTGACAGGGAATGAGAGGTCGAAAATTGGACTGAAATCACCAGACACTGTGAGCTGATGGCTCTCAAGCGTTTCCCATTTTTAATTCAGCATCCTTCAGACTATATCTGTGCACACAGCCATCATCCACTGGGACAACTCCCACATGATGGTTACCATTCACTCCTGTTTGGCAGTCCACATCAGAAGATTCAGATATAAAGGAAAAAAAAACAGGTGAGAGGTAAATGATACTAAACAAATCTGTTCCATATCCATCTCATTTCCATATTTGTTGCAAGTATTTGCCAAAGAAACACAGGGAACTTAAAGCTGTGTTTAACTATCATCTTAAGAACATTTTGTAACAGTGCTGGGTTTGCATCATGCTGTAGCGACCCTGTTACCGTAAATGTACCAAAATTGCTTTCATTTGTGTCACTGAAAATGAATCATATTGCTGAAGAAAAATCTATTCTGTCACTTTGATCAATGAGCATAGGTTTTAATGTATATTATTTGGCTTGGAGAGAACTGAGATTTGTTTCAGTGGAAACAATCGTACTGGGTCTTGATGAGAAATGCCTATCCGTCTGAGCCCTGTAATTTTAGCCTGAGTGGTAGCGTGGAAAGTTGTCCCATTCTTACTAATGTCTTCTGTGTTAGTATTTTGCAGGCGAGTAAGTGTCAGGTTTGGAGACTGACAGGCTCTTAGGCATGTAATCCACAAATGTGACATCAGCTTTTGCTCTGAGGAGATCCTTCTCCTAGGCTAGCTCTGACAGGAAATTGACTTTTTCTTTGCTGCCAGGCCCCTTCTCCTCATTGTTACTTTATCTCTTTCAATTCCATAGCTTGCCTTTCTCTCTCTCTCTCTCTTTCATTATTAATATGATAATGCTCTGATAATGCTCTGTGTCATATTTTTATGGTGCAGGAGTGTGTGCGCAAGCAAACAGAGCTCTCTTTGATTTTGCAGTGTCTCCAAAAAGCACCTGGAAATGTCTCCTCATTGCTATTCCTTTAATATACTTGTGTAGCCAGAAAAAAAAAATTGCCTGCATCCTTAACACTGCTAATCCAGTGCACATCTGCTTGACAGTAATTCATCTTGTACATACTCTCTGCTGTGCTGTCGGGCTTCCGCGAGCATCTCAGGTGTGTCTCCGGTGCACCCCCCACAGCTAAACGCACAATTTAGGTTCCCAGAGTGCAAATGTGAAGCCATTAGTCTGGAATGATAAAGAGAGTTCTAGTAGGATCTATGGGTAGGGAGGAGGTTAATGTTGTATGTCAAGCTATTAGTGTTTGCCATTACATTCTTTTTCAGTCACACACACACTAATGCATTCTTAAGGCCAGAGTGCTCTTAAGGTACTGATTTTATTTATTAGAACACTCCTCTTATTTGTCATGGCTGGTATTTCTTACGGCACTTTCACATACTAATGAAGTCTTCTAATGAGTGTTTCAGAAGAGATCTCAGAGTGTGAGTAAGATGTTTCAATATCAGCTTGAAATTCTAATATCCAAGGGACAATTCAATGTTCTTCTCAAAAGACACACAAAAAAACTTACTGTACATTTTCACAGTGTGGTTTCCTGCCGAAAAGCTCATTCAAAGTCTTGCAACTGGACAAAACGAACAAGAAGTAAAGTGTTGAACGGAGAGAATTCTGGCCCCGAGATAAAGATGATTTCTAGCAAAGCTTCACAAAAACATCTTATCAGATCCATCAAGTGCTACACACTGAACCTTTCATAGAATCATCAGCACTCTAGATTGCTTGCAGCGTGTGCAACCATGTTTGCTGTACTCTTTCACATGTGCTTATATTGCTCATTCTCATAAATTCTTATAGAAGGCGTATAAAAGGAAGCATCTTCTATCAGTGAACAGTTCAAGAACAGCATGCACTCGTCAGGGAGGACATGGAAAGGTTGCAGCATGTTGACTGACTCATTTTTTTCTAACAAAATCCATGGCAGCTGTTATTGGATGCTTTTTGTATAAAAGATTTTATATTATGGTATCCTTTATTATTCGTTGTACATTATATAGTTAAATTTTATTAAAATTTTATTACAAAATACAAAAGCTTGTTCACATTTGTGGTACAGTAACATTTTAAAAACATAAGGACAGTATAATCAGTTAGCCTGTCAAACAATGCCATGCACATTTAGTATGTACACTACCCACCCATATTTATGTATATTTTGTGTATCTCTTATCTGTTTATGTGTATATGTGTATCCTGAATTTTTTTTAATCTGGATATACTTGATATTGTGTTTGTATACTTTGTTTATTAGATGTTATCTGTTAATATATGCCCAGTATTTGTCAATGGAGCTACCATAAGAATTTCAATATGCAGTTTTCCATGTGTCAGCTGTGCAAATGACAAATAAAAGACTGTGACTTAGACTTAGACTTAGACTAATGATTATATTTCAAGGTAAAATGTAAAATCTGAAACATCCAAATAGATTGTTGTGAAGGACACATTACCTGCGTTTAATTCTCTTTTATTTGTACATACATATCTGTACATGTAAAATCAGTGGGACACAAATGGCACCCTGATATCCACCAGCATGTTTCCATTACCTTTATCAACTTATAAAAATATTTTTAAAATATTTATTTTGGTATATACTGTATTTCAGTTGCCGTATATTGTAATTTATTTTGATGCATTTACATATGCCATATTTTGTATTATGTATTAAAAAAATTGGAAAGTATTTTTGTCCATCCCTGCATGATAACCAGGTGTGCATGGCAGTCTCATATGGACCGAGAGTGTGAGTGAGATCTCGAGTGTATTCCAGCTCAATGCCCTGAAGTGCTCAAGACTGCGTTCATATTCGTGCCATCATTCAGATCCGCCCCCTCCATCTGCCTGTGCCCTCTTCCTCAAGCTCTCACAGCTCTGCATCACAAAAGAAGCAGAAAGTAGGTGTAAAGTGTTTCCAGCTTACCTGCTTCAGCTCTGCATCCTATCATGTTCTCATGGCAAACTTAATGATCTCTGCTTTCACTGCATGACTACAAGCCCTGTATCACATTAACTCTTTACCATGTGCAGCCCTTGTAAAGTGTGTTATATTCTTTGTTAGTGAGGCTAACAGCAAAATAGTAAATTGAAGTGATTATCATTTAAAATCCTGAATCATATTGTTTCATCACTTGTCTAATGGGCTCTAATAGGTTCAGGTCTGATAAGCTTATGAAGCCTCATACTGTATATAGATATGGGGTGGTATGGGGAGGGGGTTTACTAGAGGATCAGCCCACCTAATTAGTATGTACTGTATATGACAAGGTTGCATTTGCAGAATATCTGATTTGTTTCTCCTCATAATTAAATTACTGTATTGAATTTACTGTTGCTATATACAATGCTTTCTAATATTCAAGGGATGATTTAAAGCTACACAGGCCAATTTGGATTCATTAAGTCCTCATAAATTGCATAGAGCTACCAGATCTATCTGAAACATGATTTGAGATCAGAGTTGCGGTGGCAGAGTCACCCCTGCAGTAAAACCACTTCAAGAT